TTTCACCCTAGATAATATACATGTTTCGATGCTGTTCTCTTGAAACATCCCACCCTCGCCTTCCCCCAGAGTCCACAAGTCTGTTCTATACATCTGAGTCTCTTTTTCTTTTTTTGCATATAGGGTTATCGTTACCATCTTTCTAAATTCCATATATATGTGTTAGTATACTGTAATGGTCTTTATCTTTCTGGCTAACTTCACTCTGTATAATGGGCTCCAGTTTCACCCATCTCGTTAGAACTGATTCAAATGAATTCTTTTTAATGGCTGAATAATATTCCATGGTGTATATGTACAGCACTCAGCTTTCTTTATGGTCCAACTCAGACATCCATACATGACCGCAGGAAAAACCATAGCTTTGACTAGATGGACCTTTGCAGTAGGCAAAAAAAATAAAGTCTCTGCTTTTTAATATGCCGTTTAGGTTGGTCATAGCTTTTCTTCCAAGGAGCAAGTGCCTTTTAATTTCATGGCTGCAGTCACCATCCGCAGTGATTTTGGAGCTCAAGAAAACAAAGTCTGTCATGGTTTCCATTGTTTCCCCATCTATTTGCCATGAACTGATGGGACTGGCTGCCATGATCTTAGTTTTTTGAATGCTGAGTTTTAAGACAGCTTTTTCACTTTCTTCTTTCACCTTCATCAAGAGGTTCTTTATTTCCTCTTCACTTTCTGGGCTACTTGGGTTCAAATCCTGACTTTTACTAGCTGTGTAACTTATAGCAAGTTACTTAATTCTCTTTGCTTCGTTTCCTTATTTTTAAGTCAGAATGAGGCTCAAATGAGGTCACATCTCCTGACCAGTGCTTGACATAGAAAGCACTCAAATGACAGTTAGTTTCCTTATAACACAGTGGCTAGATTTAGGTACCTGTGTCATATTTGAAATGTTTTATATGTAGAAAGGCATCTATCTTTTTCTAAAGGAGCCGGTGTGTTCTTTGGGCCTAGAAGCCTAGCCCTTGAGTGTTTGGACTCTCTTAATGAAAGTAAAAATTATAACCATCTGGAGTCTCCAATTAAGAGTAGGTCCAGGGTTTCCCTGGTGGTCTAGTGGTTAAGAATCTGCCTTGCAAGGCAAGGAACATGGGTTTGATCCCTGGCCTGGGAAGGTCCCACATGCCATGGAGCAGCTAAGCCCATGAGCCGCAACTACTGAGCCCATGCTCTAGAGCCCTTGAGCCGCAACTACTGTAGCCTCTGTGCCTAGCGCCTATATTCCGCAGCAAGAGAAGTCACTGCGATGAGAAGCCCACGCACTGCAACGAAGAGGAGCCTCTGTTCACCACGAGAGGAAGCCTGCCTGCAGCAATGAAGAGCCACTAAAGCCAAAATTAAAATAAGTACATAAATCTTAAAAAAAAAAAAGAGTGGGTCCAGGAATTCCTTGGTGGTCTACTGGTCAGGATTCCAGGCTTTCACTCCTATAGCTGCACAATGCAGTCAAAAAAGAAGAAGAAAAAGAGTGGGTCCAATGGTGTCTCTGGGACAGCTGAGGCAATAAGACAAGCCTGACTCTGCTGCCCACGTAGCTCCAGGGCAGAGCACCGATTACCTGACTATGGAGGCTCAGGGCGGCTGGAACAGCTCCTACCCTGGGCCTGAAGGTAAATCGGTGACTTCTCACTCCCCTCTTTGTCCTAGGGTCTGCCCTGTTCTTTCCCACTGAGCGGGACTAAGAAGAGGTGTCACTAAGGCTTGAAGTGCTTGCTTACACCGGGCCTTATCTGCTTCTCTGTAAAGGTCCACTCGTTTCCAGTCAGTCCTTGGAAAGTGAGTCTCTAATAAGAATAAAACCAATATGAGTTCACAACCCTTTATTCAATTCCAAAATCCAAAGGGTGTTGAAAACAAAACAAAAACTCATAAATTACTTGGCAGCAAAACATGATCTGAACTGATGGGAGACTATTGATGACCTTTGTTTACCTTGAGTATCCATTTAGTGTAGATATTCATTTTTTTTCTGCAGAAATATGTTTGATGATAGGGTGCTGTCCTAGTTCCCTCTGGGAGTAAAATGCTCTATATGGTATATTGTCCCATATTTCCATTCTAAAATGCCAAAAAAGAAAAAGAAAAAAACCCACAATTTTGAAATGCAGCTGGCCCCAAGGGTTTGAATAAAAATCTGTGGGCCTTCATGTATAAAACAACTCTTACTTTGCCTAAACAGAAGCTTCCATCTCTCAGAGGAGGGTAATTAGCGCATTCATTATTGAAGGCTCTGTTTCTGCTCTGTTTGGACCTGCTCATCTTGTCAATTGAAATAAACTCTCTTGCTAGAAGTAGAATTAATGAAGATACTAGAAAATGATAATGTGTTTCTATTGCCACATGATGAAATCGGGAAGACCTTTTTTTTTTTTCCCTTTCTAAATAAAGCAGAGACTCAGACACTACTCAGAAGGACATCCTAAAATCTGTCATCTCTCCATTTTCCCGATCATCCACCCATCTACCCAAATATGGGATCTTCCTGCAATGAACAAAGATCATGTTTGCAGCACTCCTGCTGCCAGTCAGTAAAATTTTGCTGCCTGTAGAAAGCCCACTTTGAGGTACTGAATCACCCCACTTCCTTTCTATAAAATCTGTAAGGGGGCAGGGACTAGACCTACAGCCATCAGGACGTCTAACAGAAATGAAACCTCTAGGAACTACAGGTCCCAGAGGATGGATGTTTCCTTCTGGAAAATGCATGTGGGTGTCAGGACTCAGGGTTTATGTTTCAAGCACTTCAGTATTAGGAGATACCTGCTGCTTGGTAGTGGTGACTCAGAAAATCTCAGTCAGGAAAACTGAAGACTTGCTATTTCCCTCGTGGGGTCATTCCCTGGATTGCCCATCTTCGCAACCAGATCTGGGTCGAACTCATGGAGCTTCTCCACCCCTCCCTCTCCATCTCTTTGTATGTTTGTCCATTCACCCAGTGAACATAGCTCTCAGCCATTGGTAGAATTTTGCTCAGAGGTGTGTGTCTTCCCTCGCCCTAAGTCTCAATGGTATTGACAGTCACATCCCTAACTGCTCTTTAAAATCGGGATTTTAATCTTGCATAGCTATCATTTACTGAGCACTCGCTGTGTCCTCAGACGCCATGCCGAATGTTCCACATACTTTATCTTGCTTAATCCTTACAAGAACGCTTCTGGTTCTGTTCTTGCAGACAACTTGACTCTCCTTAGAGAAACAACACCTTACACGCCTGCCTGTTCCTCGCTTTGCCTTGTATGTGCCACGTAGTTCCTGCGACAGTGGCCTCAAGGCTGCTGAGGAGCCCTGCTCTCTGGTGGAGACGCATCTAACACTTTTCATGGCTTAGATAACAGCTGCTGGAGCTTCTGCCTGAGCAAAGTCAGCTGCTCCTGGGACCTGAACACAGAATATTCCCTTGGGTCCAAGTGGAGAAACAGTTTTCAATATATACTAAAAAAATAGCGAGAGAAAACAAGCCTTAGGAGAAAGGGGGAAACATGCAGAGTGGGAAGAATAGATGGGGAGGGGACAGGAGGGAAAAAGGAAGAGAAACAGATGATGAACAGTGCTGGGGAGACAGGATCCAGGAAGAGAGCTGGAGAGAACCTAGCTGTGCTGGGTTGGGCTGGGATGGCTGGCCAGCCAGCTTTTGTGGTGTGAATACTCTCGCCCTGGCTGACTGATTTTGAGCTTCTGATGTGATGTCACTGCAGGTGGAACTGGGGAGAGATGCTGGGAGAGCGTGCACGTGAGGGTTCTCACTGCTGCAGTTTGGACCCAACAGGATAGAACTCCTAAAGCAACCTACTACCCCCTCCAAAAACAGGAGAAGGACGGGGGAACCCACAGGAGCTTCTGCCCCGCCGATCGCTCAGGTAGAAGGGTTGAGACCTACTTGGGATTCCAGCAGGTGATCACAGGCTTCATGGTGTGGTGGCTGTGGTCGATAGTCAGGGCCTCCAGAAGCCAGTGGAGGACGCAGAGCTGGCGGAAGATGGGCTCGCTGCAAAGACAGAGGGCAGGAGCCCAGGGGTATCCTGTTAGAGCAACGTTCTTCACAACGGTGGCGACAGAGGCAGGACTTGTGCTGGCTCCTGGCTGGAGGGCTGTCGCCAGGCTCTGGGTGTGTGGCAGTATCTCCTGTGCACAGCAGGAAAGCTTTGCAATGGGCTCCTGAGCTATGTTTTGGGCCCATTTTTACAGGTGAGGGATCTGAGGCTCAGAGGTGAGGAGCCTGTGCAGGTCACTGGGCCAGGTGGCAGAACTATGATCAGACATGAGATGACCCCACACCAGTTACTGGGAGTTGGCATGCACAGCGGGAAGAACAAAGGAGGGGTCCTAAAGCCAGAGGTCTTGACTCAGGCAAACAAGAGGATTGAAGGAAATGGACATCCAACTATTCATCCGATAAAAATACAATAAATATACTAGCAGTGTCTGAAACGTCTGGAAACACAGGGAAACTAGTGTCTTTATTGTACTTCTTCCCTTCCCCCTACTCCAATTAACAACTGGACTCACTGCTTTAAATTTATAAATCCTTTGCCCCCAGATGTAGCTGGATGTTGAGGAAAACCACACTGAATACATTATTTGAAAGTGTAACTAAGACACTGTTTAAACATAGGTTTAACCTATATTTTGTGACTTGGGGGCAATTTGTATTATGATGACCAGACACTGAGGAGGACACTTGATACACAGGGTTTGTTGTTATTGTTCGGTTGCTCAGTCGTGTCCGACTCTTTGCGACCCCATGGACTGCAGCACGCCAGGCTCCCTGTCCTTCACTATCTCCCAGAGTTTGCTCACATTCATGACCACTGGGTCGGTGATGCTACCTAACCGTCTAACACGGTATTTAATTCTCCCTAAACCCTGCTGGATATAAATCATACATGAATATTAGGGAAGAGGAAACGGAGGCTCAGAGAGGGGCAGTCAGCATGCTCTGCGTCACGCAGCGTGCTGCTGACAGAGATGGGATGAGGATCCCATTTAACGCTACCGACAGCCCCATGAAGGGTGCCTCCACACCATCCCTTCTGCAGACAAGGGACTTGGGGAAGAAAGTGAGCCACCCGAGGTCACACGAGGATTGGTGAGGGTTTGAACCTACCTCTGTTTGAGGTGCTGGTTTGGGCCCAGTGCAGCGGCCACCCTGAGCAAGGCTGGCACAGGGTTAACTCGCTGCCTGCGTTCTTCCTGGAAACGAGGGGGAGTCCTAACTAGCCGCCCGCCCCTTGCCTGGTTCCTCCTCTTAGACTAATGCGCCAGAGTCTCCATTAGAACCTGTGTAAGTGCCCTTCTCTGCAACTGCTCCTGGCTTGGTCGATGCTCCCCAGGGCTCCTGGGCCTGGTGCTCAGAGGGGCATGCAGGCATCCACCCTCCAGCTTCCAGGAAGGCCTGGCTCCCGAGGCAGAACCTGAGCCCTGGGGCTCAAGTGTGGAGCTGGCCCAGGGCTATCCCAGAGAGTCACTCAGCATGCAGGGGAGCTGCTTCCAGGCACCCCACTCACAGCCCCCATGTTCTGGGGTGGGCGTGCCCACCAGGAGTTAGGAAAACTAGAGTCAGCAGCTCGCTCTCTTTTTCTGCTGAGCCCCTTCCTTCCTTTGTTTCCCTTCTGCTTTAAAGAAACTGCAAGTCCACAGTCCTCCGCCCCTTTCTCTCCCTCCCTATACCATCTTGATCCCCACAGGGTCAGTGCATGTTGGCAGCTCTGGGTGCCAAGAGCAGCAGTGGCTGTGCCATGCGCCTGACCCTGGGCAGACACCCCTTTTTTGTTGCATCCCAGGGGGACAAGGGGCAGGTGAGCCTCGGTTCACTTCTGCAAGGGACAGGAACAGGCACAAACCTGGCCCGTTCTTTCCCTTGCTTAAAATCTTCAAGCTCCCCAAACCGTCTGAATGAACGATGTCCCCCTCCATTCACAAGCTGAAGTCCTAACCTCTAGCATCTTAGACTATGACTGTACCTTTAAAGAGGTGATGAAGTTAAAATGAGGCTATTAAGGTGGGTCCTAATCCAATCTGACTGGTGTCCTCCTGAGAAGAGGAGGTGTGGCACACGAATACTAGAGCACATGCTCACAGCGGACAGACTGTGAGGCCAAGGAGGGAGGACTCAGAAGAGACCAACACGTGGGCACCTTGACCTTCAGCTTCCAGCCTCCGGAACTGTGAAGAATACATTTCTGTTCGGGAATGTTCAGGCCACCTGGTCTGTGGTGTGCTGTTGTGAGGCCCTGGCAAACCAACACCCGTCACATGGGAGAGACTGTCCACCTCCTCAGCCTGAGTCTCCCCGCCCCCACTGTGCTGCCATCTGCAGCCTGCTGCAGTTCTGCTCCGCAGCACAAGCTTGCCGCAGTCCTCTGCACTGTGTTAAAACCCGGGCTGTGCCATCTACTAGCTACGTGGTCTTGGCCAAAGTACGTAATTTTCCTGACTCTCAGTTTTCTCATCTGTATAATGGTGGTAATCATTCCAGTGAAGGTGAGGTGAGGCGTTCAGCACTGTTCAGTGCTCCTGATACACACTCCCTTTCCTCCTTCTCCTCTGCCTCTCGGTGATTGGGTCTCAGCTCAGATGTCACCTCCAGCAGGAAGCCTTCCTTGATTTCTCTGGCCTCCCCTCTCTGAGGAGGTTCTAAAGCCTCCCTGCCCTTACAATGTGTCCCTTTGTCCATACACATTGTGTTCCTGCTGTCTCATAACTACCTGTTTACTTGTCTCCCGAGCCCACAAGCCATGGAGCTACAGAGTATTGCCTGCCACAGGCAATCCTGTGCCAGGCACAGAGTAGGCTCAATACATTTCTGATTACTCAATGGGATATGGTGGGAATAAACTGGCTTGGATCTGACATTTTCTGGAGCTGAAAATCTGGGCACAATTCTTATGTGTACAACCGCAGAGGTAACAAAGGAGAGTGGCAACACCAGCAAAATGACAGTAATAGTAAACACTTCCCACAGAGCACTTGCTCTGTGCCAGACACTGTTTTTAATTACCATCCATTAATTAAAGTCATTCTTGTAACAACACTTTGAGGAAGGTACTATCAGTATCCCCATTTTTCAGATGAAGAAACTGAGGTCATGGAAATTACCCAAGGTCAAAAAGGCAGCAAATGGCAAAGCTGGAACCTGGGCCCAGATAGTTTGGTTACTGAATCTGTGTTCTAACCATCAACACAATGTTGATGTCTCTTGTTACAGGGCAGAGCCCTCCCTTTCTTTTCAGCAGAACAGGGTTTCATCCAATGGGTGTGGACCTTTTTTTCCATTTATAAAAAGTGCCTTAAAGAATGTGTGCACAAATGTTTACAGCAGTTTTGTTCATAATTGCTCAAAATTGGAAGTAACCTTTAGAGACGTATGGATAAATTATCTGTGGTACATCCAGACAATGGACTGTTATTCAGTGTTAAAAAGAAATGGGCTATTAAGCCATGAAAAGCCAAGGAGAAACCTCAAAAGCGTATTACTAAGTGAAAGAAGCCAATCTGAAAAGGCTACATACTGCATGGCTCCAACAATACGACGTTCTGGAAAGCACGAAACTATGGAAAAGTAAAAGGATCAGTGGTTGCCAGGGGCTGGGGATGGGGAGAGGGAAGAATAGGCAGAGTAAACAGAGGATTTTTAGGGCAGTGAAAATACTCTGAATAATACATGAATGGATGGATACATGTTGTTATACATTTGTCTAAACCCATAGAATGTATACCACCAAGAGCAAACCCTAATGTAAACCAGGGGCTGTGGGTGATTATGAGGTGTCACTGTCGGTTCATCAATTCTAGCAAATAGCCCACTCTGGTGGGGGATGGAAACAATGGGGAGGCTGGGCAGAGGGAGGAGTAAATGGGAAATCTCTACACTTTCCACTCAATTTTACTCTAAACCTGAAACTGCTCTAAAAAAAAATAAGGTCTTACTGAAAAAAATAAAGTGTCTCAAACCCAATCATCTCTCATCTCACATGCAGCAAACCAGAGAGACAGAAAGAAAGGGTCCCCAGAAACATGCTTGATAGAAATTGTTCCTTTTTCATAGTGATTGTCTGTAAGTCAAAGCACAATATCTTGAATGTTATCAAATTAAAAGAGAAAGCATTTATTTTCTTAAATGTGGGGCATAATAGATGGAAACGCTAACCAGGGTGCACAAAGCCTGCTTCTAAAATCCTAGTGGTCAGAACTCTGGGAGAGCTCCCAGGGGTCAGTGTACCTGAATAAGCAGCCCACTCTATTGAAATGGCCATACCAACCAGAATACAAGTGGGTATCTACATCCCTGAGAAGAAAACAACGTTTTGTCCTTTTACTAAGAGAAATCAGAAAATGCATACAAGGCACCCCATGCTGACTGTCAGGCAAACCAGGACAGTGGCTGCAGGCACAGTTGCTTAGGAAGGGTTGTAAGGACAGTCCAGTCAGCTCTGAGAGGAAAGGATGGGATGTCCTCTTTCCTGCAGACAGCATCTCACCTCTCTCTCTCTCTCTTTTTTTTTTTTAGAAGATAAAGGTCCAGTCTTCCTTGGCATCATTGAACTGATCCCCATGTAGTCATTTTAGAATTTTCAGCCGGTTCTGGGATCATTCCTATTGGGATTGAAATCCACCTCGGCTGGTGTGAAGACTCAGAATTTGAGAACTGACCTGGCAGGCTCTGCCCGATGCTTTGTGGTAGAATGATGACAAAACTGCTTGGATTCTCCACCCCTCCCTGCATCCATGTACTTTACAGTGTGATCCGGCATTTCTCGCATCGGGAGGTAGAATCTTTGTTTTCTTGTTTATTGTCTTGTTTGGCCAGTAGGACACAGTGGAACGGTCCTCGGGTCCATTCCGAGCTTAAGCCTTAAGAGGCTTGAGTGCTTAGGCTCTCGTCCTTGGAGCCCTTCCTGAGAGCCACGGAACAAGTTCAGCTAGCATGCTGCGTGATGACAGTGATGGTCCCTCCTGTCACCCTAGCCACCAACCAACCGACAGACCTGGGTGTGAGGCGGCCCTGGATGGGCCTGCCGCCAGCTTCCCACACACATGCAAGCCCAGCCTGGACCAGTGGAACTGATCCAGACAAGCAGACCCACCCAGCTGACCTGCAGACTTTGAACAATAAATGGTTGCTGTTTCACGCTACTCTACTTTGAGATGCTCTGTCATATAGCAACATATTACTGTTACAGTCTTCAAATGCAGCCAGAGCCTTTTAATAGCCAAGGAAGAGAAGGGTCAGCCTTCAGTCTACTGCAGGAGTGTGTGCCTGTGTTTGCAAGTAAAACTTTATTGGAACATGGCCCCATCATCCATTCACTGTAACTTTCACGATGCAACGACAAAGTACAGCTGACTCTCTGCATCTGTGGATACAGAGGGCTGACTATACTACTCCCATTTATATTGATAGAAGACATGAGCAGCACAGATTTTGGTATGTGCAGAAGGTCCTGGAACCAATCCCCCACAGATACCTGTCTGCAGGTGCCAAAGAGACCATCTGGTCTGCAGAGCCTGAAATATTCACTGCCTGTCCCTTTCCCTCTAGGAAAGAGGTTGCTAGGCTGTAACAAAGAACAGCCACCACTGTGATCATCACCACCACAGTCCTCATCGTCAACAAACCTGACACAAAAGTCTGAGTTAAAAGTTGGGAGAATTTTGTGAGAATGTTGTGAGAATTTTGGCAGGCTCTGCCTTCTCTCTGGGCTTCAGTTTCCCCATCTAGCACTGAAGGAAGATGAGCAAAAAACTCCAGTGACTTCTGCAATTGATGTAAACCTCTATTTGCTCAGATAAAAGGAAATGGGTTTTGGGACCTAGAAATATGTGTTTTTCCAGGCATTTCCTTACCTTGCCATTCCCCTCACCCAAGTCCTGATCCCCAAATGATTCAGATTCAAGTAAAAGCCTAAGAACCACTGATTTACACCATTTGGGTTCAGAAGGTTTGTCCATGGAGAGACATATGGAAGTGTGTTTCCAAGGGTCATTATGAGAAACTGCAAAACTTACTTTTGTAAAGAGATGTTTTAAGAACATCCAATTGAGGCCGCCAGTTGGAATGTCCCTAAACAAATAACTCTGTGATGAAAGCAGTCATAATATCCATCAAAGGGAGAAAGGAGAAAAGTGGGGAGTGGGGCTCATGAAAAGTGGAAATACTAGTAAGGGAGAGGAATGTGTCCAAATACATGGTGGTGGTGGTGATGATGGTGTTGGTGTTGATGGTGATAACGATGGTGATGAGGAGGATGGTGATATGGTCAATGGTTCTGGAGATGATGATGGTGATGATGTTGTCAACAGTGTTGGTAATGGTGGCATTATCCACCCACAAAATAAATGCTCTTATTAATGACTTGCCACATTGTCCTAGGATTTTAGTCTTCTATTACTTTACTCTTTAAGTACATGAGACCTGGTAGTCCAAATACATTATGAGCTCCTCAGAGGTAAAACCTTGGGATATGCCGTCTGTGTAGTGTGTGGTGGTAAGAGATCAGGCTCTGAAGTTAGACACACTTGGCTTAACACCCCAATGCAGTGGCAAGCTGAGCTCTGTGACCTTGGGCAGGTTACTATATCTCTCGGAGCTTCTGTTCTCTCATCTCCAGGGACGGGCTAATAAGATACCTACAGAAAANATTCATTTCAATGTATGACAAAAATCACTGCAATCTTGTAAAGTAATTAGCCTCCAACTAATAAAAATAAATGGAAAAAAAATAAAAATAAAAAAAAAAGAAAAGAAAAGCACTGCTGAGAGGACTGAGTGGAACAGGGCCCACCAGAGCAGTCAGTACTGTCATTTTACTGTGCATGCCTTTGGGACCTAACAAATATTTGACAAATGAGCAGAAAGAGAAGTCTAGAATCCACTGCCCCATGCCCATTGCCCTAAAGCTGTGGTTCTTATAGGAGGGGGCTGGTGGTGCCTGTGTGTGTGATTGTGCCCCCAGGGGTATTTGGCAATGTCTGGGGACATTCTGGTTGTCAGAGCTGGGGGGGAGGCGTTGGCTACTGGCATCTGGTGGGTGAGGGCCATGGATGTTGTTCAGTATCCTTCATCCTACAGCGCACAGGATAGTCCTTCTCAATGAAGAATTATTTGTCCTCAAATGTCAATAGTGCTGAGGTTGAGCAGTCTTGCCTTAATCTCTGTCCCTGAATTCTCCCAGTTGAAAAGGGCTAACTAGTGAGAAAGGAAAACCTGGGCTGAGAATTCTCTGGAATAGATAGGAGGGGAATGAGATGTCAAGGTTTTGGAAAGCCTGAGTATTCCTTGGAGGGTTGCTGAGCCCCTGTTACACCATACTATGATGAGTTTGTGCCTGGGGTTGGCTCAGAAGGCAGTGGGGGCTTCTCTGGGAAATAACTCCCTGAGTCTTGGGGGGAAACGTGTCCCTAGAGGTTCGGGTGAGAAATCTACCAGGTGTGCACTGCAGATAGATTTTATCAGGCTTTGCAAACTATTTGACATTAGAGCGTATGGCTTGGTAAGGAATGGAATGACTCGGTCCCAGCTGGATTGTCATTTAGCTCTAAGCCACCATGTCTGCTTTCTGTTATTTTTATATGCCACATAGTGTTGCTGGCCCCAGGCTTCCTGTTCCTTTCAAGAGGACAAAGGACTAGCTCCCAATGACTGTTAGCTGGTTGAGTCATTTGACCTTGGCTGCGAATGATAAGGCAGTGAAGCAAACAAGCCCGAGGTGGGCCTACTTACACGTGGGCCTCGGGCAGTGAGGGTGAAATGATGCAGCTGTGCATGGGGCTGAACGGTCGCAGGATGACTTCAGCCGCTGCCTTCTTCGTCTTCTCATTGCCGTATGTGCTGAAGCAGAAGCAGAAGCAGAGTGAATGACAAGGAGCAGTTTTAATTGCCCACATCTTTCGCGAGGGGTTATTTGGCAAATATCACTAGGCACCGACTATGGATCGGCCAGTAATTTCAGCTGGAAAGGTGAAGGTCCCAGATGCAGCCAGTAACCAGAGCATATAAGACCCCATTCTCTCATGGAGCATCTATTCTTGTGAACGAGCAGAGAGAATACATAAGATCAGTTGGGCAGCTGTGTGGTACACTGATATAGATGAGGGGTTGGATATGTTTTCCTATCCCGCTAGACAAACAGTTATGCTATTATGGGGCATTCAGTCCATATCTTGACTACTTAGTAGCATAAAAGCCACTGATGATGTAAACAGTAAGTTAATGGCAGGGTTTAAATAAAACTTTATTTACCAAACCAGCTTAGGGGCCCAGGGGCTGGAGTTTGCTGACCCATTCCCCACCCCCTCACTCCCACTAGTAAGTGATACATGCTATGGGGAGAATAAAAGAGAAGGGAGTTCAGTAGGGCTGGGAGAGCTAGGGGCTGCAATCTTAAACAGAATGATTGGGGCAGGCATGACTGAGAAGGTGACATTTGATAAGAACTTGCAGTGGAAGGGAGTGAGCCATTCATCCGTCTGGGGCAGAGCCTTCTAGAGAGAGGCAGTGACAGGTGTAAATGTCCTGAGGTGGGAGTATGTTTTAGAGATGGCAAGGAGGCACGGGTGGCTGGAGTGGAGTGAGCAACAGAAAGAGGAGAGAGGGAGGGCTGCAGAGAGAACAGGGGCTTTGCAGGCCAGTGTGAGGACCCGGGCCTTTTCTGTGAATGACAGTCAAGGATTCTGAGCTGAAACAAGACATGGTGTGACCTCTTACAAAGGAGCCCTCTGGCTGCTGTTTTGAGAATGGCTGATGGCAGGGGAAGAGGGCCAGGAGACAGATGAGAAGTGCTGCGATAATTTCAGCTGGAGAGAGCCCGGTGGCTTGTGCCGGGGTCCTATCAATGGGGATGGTGAGAAGTGAAAACAACAGGATGGACACAGGGAAGGAGCTGCCTGCAGTCAGTGGTTCTCGGTTGTGGTCTTTTCCTTAAAGGGATTTCTCCCAACCCTCTAGACTGCTGACTCACCAGCTGGATGAATCGGCCATGAGATGTGGGGATCTCGAACTTCAGAAGTGGGCACAAGGGTGCCCCCAAAGATCAGCCATGACCAGGCATGCCTCTTCCAAAGCCCATTCCCTGCCCCACAGGGAACACAGGGGCTTCCTCTGAAGCCAAAACCTGGTCGCAGGATGACTTCAGCCGCTGCCTTCTTCGTCTTCTCATTGCCGTATGTGCTGAAGCAGAAGCAGAAGCAGAGTGAATGACAAGGAGCAGTTTTAATTGCCCACATCTTTCGCGAGGGGTTATTTGGCAAATATCACTAGGCACCGACTATGGATCGGCCAGTAATTTCAGCTGGAAAGGTGAAGGTCCCAGATGCAGCCAGTAACCAGAGCATATAAGACCCCATTCTCTCATGGAGCATCTATTCTTGTGAACGAGCAGAGAGAATACATAAGATCAGTTGGGCAGCTGTGTGGTACACTGATATAGATGAGGGGTTGGATATGTTTTCCTATCCCGCTAGACAAACAGTTATGCTATTATGGGGCATTCAGTCCATATCTTGACTACTTAGTAGCATAAAAGCCACTGATGATGTAAACAGTAAGTTAATGGCAGGGTTTAAATAAAACTTTATTTACCAAACCAGCTTAGGGGCCCAGGGGCTGGAGTTTGCTGACCCATTCCCCACCCCCTCACTCCCACTAGTAAGTGATACATGCTATGGGGAGAATAAAAGAGAAGGGAGTTCAGTAGGGCTGGGAGAGCTAGGGGCTGCAATCTTAAACAGAATGATTGGGGCAGGCATGACTGAGAAGGTGACATTTGATAAGAACTTGCAGTGGAAGGGAGTGAGCCATTCATCCGTCTGGGGCAGAGCCTTCTAGAGAGAGGCAGTGACAGGTGTAAATGTCCCGAGGTGGGAGTATGTTTTAGAGATGGCAAGGAGGCACGGGTGGCTGGAGTGGAGTGAGCAACAGAAAGAGGAGAGAGGGAGGGCTGCAGAGAGAACAGGGGCTTTGCAGGCCAGTGTGAGGACCCGGGCCTTTTCTGTGAATGACAGTCAAGGATTCTGAGCTGAAACAAGACATGGTGTGACCTCTTACAAAGGAGCCCTCTGGCTGCTGTTTTGAGAATGGCTGATGGCAGGGGAAGAGGGCCAGGAGACAGATGAGAAGTGCTGCGATAATTTCAGCTGGAGAGAGCCCGGTGGCTTGTGCCGGGGTCCTATCAATGGGGATGGTGAGAAGTGAAAACAACAGGATGGACACAGGGAAGGAGCTGCCTGGAGTCAGTGGTTCTCGGTTGTGGTCTTTTCCTTAAAGGGATTTCTCCCAACCCTCTAGACTGCTGACTCACCAGCTGGATGAATCGGCCATGAGATGTGGGGATCTCGAACTTCAGAAGTGGGCACAAGGGTGCCCCCAAAGATCAGCCATGACCAGGCATGCCTCTTCCAAAGCCCATTCCCTGCCCCACAGGGAACACAGGGGCTTCCTCTGAAGCCAAAACCATCACAGGAAGGGAGGGGACATGATGCTTACAGAGAAGTGAATCAACCCAGACAGACACTTGTCTGAAAAAGACTGCTTCAAAAAGTGAAAAATATTAAGCTACCTTTAATAACATAGTTAAGTTGTTTTTTTTTTCCAGCACCATTATGGAGCAAGTCATTTCAGTCAGAGAAAACAATCTTTTCTTTCCCGGAACTTTGGCATGTCTGAGTCATAGGGCATATATTTTTTGCCCATGACCACATCTTAATAAGCCTACTGTGTGCATAATGGAATCAAATGTCTATATTTTAAAACTGGGAGATGTCACACAAAGATGGAGACTAAAGACTAAAAGACTAAAGTTCTTGCCACTCTGGGTAAGAGGTGGGTGGGGTCCAAGATCAAGACCATTGCCCACCTGTGCAGGAGGTGGGTGCCCCTTGGGTTGCTTGAGACTTAAGAGCCCCTGGAATCTCACTGCCAGCCTGCCCTGTGTATTCAGGCTACCTGCGTGCTCCTTTAAAGCCTTGTAGTTTCTCAGCCTGAGCACTTAAACATTGACTGAATCATTGACAGGTTCCCTGATTCATTCATGTCTAGCCACATTTATCAAACCTCTCTGTGCCGGGGGCTGTGGATGCAGTGATGGAGGAAACAGAACCAGCCCTCCCCTCTGGAGCTTAGAGCCTCATGGAGGAGATGGGCTTCACACAAACAGAGTTGTGACAAGACTCGGTGGGAGCGTGAATGGTGCTCGGACAGCCCCAAACAGAATTTGGCTGAAACTGAGTCTGGGAATACTGTCTGGAGGGAGCTGTATCAATTTAGAAATATATGCCCCAAGTCTCTTTCAGTGGGAAGGTGGCTTTATAATATATAATCCCATTTCCCTGAAATCTTGGCTCTGTGAATGGCTGGGCTGGCAGGACATGTCAGAAGTGGCATGATGCCCATTTCTGGGCCCGGGCTCCAAGAACTGGCAGCTTTTCTGTTCTATGTCTTGGAAGGCTCATTCTTAATTCCTAGCCACCACCATGCTGGTGGAGGGAGGCGGGAAGCCTGTGAAGAGCCTCCTGGGCAGAGAACCAAGGCTGCTGGTCTCAGCCCTGGCCGAGCTCAGAGTGACAGCCGCCCCAAGGTGCCACTCACATGGATGAGCCCTCTCGGAAACAGACACTCACTCTGAGCCACCCCAGCTGGTTCTGTAGATGATCCTTCCACCCTGAACCTCACTCAAATGGCAGATGTGTGAGTGAAATAGATGTTTGTTGTCTTGAGTTAATGGGTTTTGGAGTGGTTGCTCACAGCAACAGTAACTGGAACAAAAGTAAATATTGAGCCGAGAGCTGCAGGTAGAATGGGAATTAAGTAGGCAGAGGGTGGGGCGAGAGGCCCCGTGGAGGAGGCAAGGTGGGGGAAAGTGTGGCTGGAGGAGAAGCCGTGGGCCAGGCTGTCCAGAGCCTCGCAACCCCGGCTCAGACTTTTCCAGTCCTCATCTTATAAAGAACGGTGGCCTTTGAGGATTTTAAACTGGCAGCAGTTTACATTTGGAAAGATCACTCTGGCTTAGCATGGGGAAAGGAGACGGAGGGAGGCAGAAGAGGTGAAGTGGGGGCACCCACTAGGAAATTACCTTCCTCCTGAGACTTTGAGGACAATCCTGGGGTCACAGAGTTAACTAAAGAGTCAGACCAGAATAAGGGGACTTTCCCAGTGGTCCAGCAGTTAAGGCTCTGTGCTCCACATGCAGGGGGCAGGGGTTCAATCCCTTGGCAGGGAACTAAGATCTTGCAAGTCACAAGGCATGCCAAAAAAATAAATAGGAGCAGAATCTAGGGCCCCTGATTTCCATTTCCACAGGCTCTTAATTCAGCCCTAGCACTGAGGAAACCACAAGCCAATACGTTGGTGTTCGCAGTCTTACTGGCTCCACCGAGTACCCCAGTAGTTTGGAATATGTGGAAATTAACCCAGCTTTTACATTCCTTAATTTCTTGTTTTATGTGTCCTCTCAACTGCAATAATAAGACAAATTCTACCTGTTGTTTTTTTCACCTTTTTCAGCTGAATTTGCAGCTGAGAAATGAGGTCACTGAACACAGTGAGAAAGACTGCTTGCAGGCAGGAATCTTTGGGGACATGCTTGATTTTCTTTCTTCCCTACATAGTTTGTCAGACTTAAAACTTTGGTCTGAAAGAACTTACCTTATGGTCTTAGATCTGGTGGGGAGCGGGGGGAGTGGTGATGGGGAGAGGGGGGGATAATTCTTTTTAATCCCTTTTGCTTTTATAATGCACAGGATCAAATACTGTGTTAAAAAAGCAGTTCTAAATGAACACTTGTATTTTTGATAATTCTGTGATTGGAATTATATTTATAGAACATAGCTCTTAGA